CACCATGCCCGGCTAATTTTTTCTATATATTTTTAGTTGTCCAGCTAATTTCTTTCTATTTTTAGTAGAGATGGGGTCTCGCTCTTGCCCAGGCTGGTCTCGAACTTCTGAGCTCATACGATCCTCCTGCCTCGGCCTCCCAGAGTGTTAGGATTACAGGCATGAGCCACCGTGCGCCTGGCCGGCTTCTGTTTTCTTAATGAAATAGGAAGCAAGACAAAAAGCTGAGAGTGGGAATGGCACAGGAAGCACTGGAGGATTGGAGACAGGAGTGAAAAATTGAAATCTAGGTGTATGGGAGAGTGAATGGACCAGAGAGATGTCCAGATGCTGGGCAGCATTAAGAGCCCTGGGCTGCATTAAGGACCCGCTTGAGGTTCAAGTCATAAATTTGAAATGAGACTGGTTGCCACGGTTGGGTGTTTTCTCCAGCCACAGTCAGCTGCTTGGGACAGGCTGAATGAGTTTACCAGGTGTGTGGTTTTTGCCAGACAGTATAATAAAGGGAGGGAGGTGCAAGGGAGCTGAAGGTGTATGTAAGGGAGTGCTTATGTTTGACCATCCTTGCCAGGTCTGTGCAGCCCAGTTTAGAGGGAATCCTCGCACCCTTGGTATTTGCTCACCCTCGTCCGCCACCAGCAAGAACCCCCTGCCCTTGCTTCCTCGCTATCTCCTCTTAGTAATTTTCCATCCAGTGACCCCCCTCCCCCGATTCTGCTAGTTGGCTGTAAACCCCTGTCTTTGCCATATTCCGAGTTGAGTCTAATCTTTCTTCCTTATTGCAGCAGCCTTGATGCCAATCCAAATAGTCCTGATAAAATCTGCCTTACTGTTTTAACAAGCGTCCAATTAAGTTTTTTCTTTAACAGGGATACTAGAAGAGGTGAACTGAGGAGGAGGAGCTACAGTTATAGGTAAAGAAAAAGTCCAGGGCATAGCCGATGGGGTAACAGGGTAGCGTGGAGGGTGAGATTTATGGGGAAGCACAGTTAAGCGATAGAGAGGCCAGGGTGTTGGAAGTCTCCTCAGTGTGGCACCAAAAATTGTGACAGGGGTGTGGGCAGCAGAGATGACCACTGAAAATGCCAAAGATTAACTGCTCATGAGAGCTCTCCCTGGCAAAGCCACGTTTGGGCTGGTTTGAGCCCCTTCCTGTCCTAGGGAAACATTACAGATAACCTGCAGCCAAAGGATGGTGGCAGGAAAAGCTGTGTTCATTTCCTGAGCCTCCAATGACAGTGTGACCATAAAAAACTGCATAAATTACTGAAGCTAGCCAACCTTAAATTTCCTAATCTGAAAAATTGAGATAATAGCAGTACCTACCTCACAGAGCGGTTATGCATATTTAATGCAGGACTGCAGGTAAAGAATAATTTGGTGAACATTTAGGCATTGTTCTAGAGTGCCTAGTAGCTTGCTGAACTGTCACAGCAACCTTAGGAGGGAAGTTCTAGTTTGTCTCCATTTTACAGATCAGGGAACGTTGGCAGGCTGTGCTGCTGTTGATGGGACCTGTGAAGGGTGAGGAGGAAGTCCCAACTTTCAAGTTGGGTTCACAAATTCCTTGATTTCTGCTGGAGGTGAGAACACTGCGCCAGGAGGCACGAAAGCACCCGACGATGCAGATCGACCGCTGCCTGCGCCTCGGGGGCTCCGGACCCGATCTGCGGCCAATGGCTCCCTCCGGTGGCGGAAGCGAGGAGCGCAGCCGGAGGGCTGGATCGGGCGCGAGGGGAGGGTCTCCGCGGGGGATAAGGGGCCAGGCCGGGACCTGGCGGACGTTCCCGGGCTTAGAGAGTCTGGAGGACCCCGTAAGGCGCCAACCTCTATGGCTCGGAGTTCCCAGCAACACACCTGGCCAGGTGTCGCAGCCCCGCCCTCCTCCAGGCCGCCCTCCGCCGTCCTCGCACGCCCCTTTCAGGAATGGGGTCCAGTCCGCGCGGCGGCGTCGGTTGGCATCAGGGTGATGGAGGCTGTAGGGCCCGTGGCCCACACCCTGCCGGAGACGCACGTCTATGGGGCTAGCCGGGCGGCGTGGTGGGCGCACGTGGGGCCAGACGCGCGGGGCTGGGGGAGCGCCGAAGGGCGGGGCCTCCCGGGGCGCGCCCACGGGGCGGGGCCCGGCCGGGACCAATGGCGCGCGGGCGCTGGGGGGGCAGGCTCCGGGCCTGGCATCCTGGTAGCCGCAGCTGTCTTTTCCGGCCCGGCGCGCCCTCCGCCCGAGGCGGACCCCTCCGGCTCGCGGGGATCGCCCCGGAGCGGCTGCGTCCTCCGGGTGGGTGAGTGAGCGCCCCGCGGCACCGCGCTGTGGGGTGCACCTGGCCAAGGAGGAGGAGATCTTGGCCCCCCCGCACGCTGCTGCGGGAGCGGTGGGCAGGAGCCGGCTCGGAGGAGGAGGACGCGGGGGATCTTGTGTTGCGCGATGCGAGCCGGCCTGCGTTTCTGTTTTGGTGGCCGAGGGGTGTATTTGGGCTGGTAGAGTTTGGGGGACGCCTCGTGTGGATGAGAGGAATCTGGGAGGCAAAGGAGGGGAGGAGGGGACTTGAGATGGCTTGAGGGAGAGGCTCTGCCGAGGGTGAGGCTTTGGAAGATTTGGAAGTTTCTTAATGCCTGTGGGCAAGGTGATTGCCTTGGGGGGACTTGGGCGGGGCAGCGCAGGACTCAGGAGGAGGGGGTGAGGAAGGCTTTCTGCCGGTAAGTTACTTCCCTTTTGGGGGGTTTGCTTCCTCTCGTACTGCTAGTTAAGGAACGAGAGGCTGGAGAAGCCTGCGCTGCCAGAAGGTCTTTGCCCCTTTCCAGAACCGGTGCCATCCACAGTCTCAGGGACATGTGGGAAGGGGTGGACCCCAGGAGCTGGGAGGGCCCTGACACCCATGCAGAGGGGCTTTGGGTCCACCTTTGTGGGGCAGTGGCTGGGACCATCTGCAGCCCCACAGGCTCTTTCGAGTTTCTGGTAAGCAGCGTGTGTGTGAGTGTGTCTTTGCAGCTCTCCCTTTTGGGAAGGGTTCTGGGTGTTTGATTAGAGGAGTTTTGGGGGGCTCTGTGGGGCTGCTTTGCATACATCATAATCTCTCTTACAGGCCTCCTAACCCATCTGTGGCTTCCTCTGCCTGCACTCAGCCATGGCCAGCGAGAGCTCACCTCTGCTGGCCTACCGGCTCCTGGAAGAGGAGGGGGCTGCCTTCCCTGCCAGTGGGGCCGGGGGTCCTGGAGGGGTGTCTGCTCGGAAGCTGTCCACTTTCCTGGGTGTGGTGGTGCCCACTGTCCTGTCCATGTTCAGTATAGTTGTCTTCCTGAGGATTGGTGAGTGGGTGTTCTGGGCACTTACTCAGGTGGGAAGTGGTGGGGGAGGGGTGGGACTGGGCTGAGATTGGGGAGGAGCCGTGGATGAAGGGCTTGGGGAGGTGGCTCCCTGTGGTGTGTAGCTCTGCCTTGGAGTTCTGCTGGCCAGTGGGGTGGCCATGGGGGGGGTGTGAGCCCCATGTGAACTGCCACTCATGCCCTAGGGTTCGTGGTGGGCCACGCTGGGCTGCTGCAGGCCTTGGCCATGCTGCTGGTTGCCTACTTCATCCTGGCGCTCACTGTCCTCTCTGTCTGTGCCATCGCCACAAATGGAGCCGTGCAGGGAGGTGGAGCCTACTGTATCCTCCAACATCAGTGGAATGGGGTCTGGGCTGTTCTGTCTGGGAGGGTGTGGATGGAGCCAGTACCCTCCATCTGCTCAGGGGCAGGGCAAGTTTCAATGAATGTCCGGTAGGCAGGCTGGTATGGTGAAGGGGACCAACAGTGTCCTACACGTTACTGCCACTTTCTAGTCGCCTAACAATCTTGTTGATTAGCTAGTGGTCATTTTACAGATGAGGAAACTGGAGGTCCTAGGGTCCGAGTGACTTGTGCAAAGCCACAGGGCTAGGGCCTAGTTGCACTGGTGGGACGCATTGCCTCAGGGAATGCAGGGAGACAGGCCCGGAGGCCAGGTGTGGAGTGCTCTGTGCTGTGGCCCCTTCCTCGTATCCCTTTCAGTTTTCTTTCCCTTAACACTCAACCCCGCTTCTGCTTTTAGTTATGATCAGCCGGACCCTGGGGCCTGAGGTCGGGGGCAGCATTGGCCTCATGTTCTACCTGGCGAACGTCTGTGGCTGTGCCGTCTCCCTGCTGGGGCTCGTGGAGGCCGTACTTGATGACTTTGGGGCTGGTCTGTGCTCTCTCCACCCAGTGTGGGCAGCTCTGTGGGTCGGGATTGTGGGATTGTGAAGGAGAAAGTCCCATCCAGGAGAGGGGCAAAGCAAGCCACTACCTGGGCTTTCTCGAGCTCCTGCTATGTGGCCAGCCTCCTGCAGGAGATGGAGGCATCCCTGAGATTGGCCCTGCCCACAAGGAGCTTTCATCTAGTTGGGGAGACAACCGGGGAGAGCTTAAGATGCTGGGGTAGAGTTGAGGGGAAGGGGAAGATGGCCTCTTTGACAGCAGGTGGACAGAGGGGGGTCTCATCCTGCTTTGGGTCCTGGTTGGGGCTGGGTCCATCGTTAGGGTCAGGCTTTCTAACTCTGTCCTTGCCTCTCTCCAGATGCCACAGGGCCCAGTGGGCTCCGGGTCCTGCCCCAGGGCTACGGCTGGAGCCTGCTCTATGGCTCCTTGCTGCTGGGCCTCGTGGGTGGGGTCTGCACACTGGGAGCTGGCCTCTATGCCCGGGCCTCCTTCCTTACATTCCTGCTGGTCTCTGGCTCCCTTGCCTCAGTGCTGGTCAGTTTTGTGGCTGTGGGGCCCAGGGACATCCCCCTGCCTCCTCGGCCTGGCCCCAATGGCTCCTCCCTGCCGCCCCGGCTTGGCCACTTCACTGGCTTCAACAGCAGCACCCTGAAGGACAACCTCGGTGGTGAGCTGGACACTGTGGTGCCAGGGTTCTTCGGCGAGGGGTGGGCATGAGTGAGGGCTGGGCCCTTAGAATCCCTGGATGAGAACAGGTGTCAGAGGGAAGCTAGGCGTAGGAGTCTGGACCTCAGAGCAGTGCAGTTTGATTCAAATTCGCCTAGCGCGTTTGTCCAGTGGGGCACGAAAGAACCCGCAAGCCAGTCCCTGCCTTAGAGGAAGTTGAGTTCTAGCTGGGGAGAATTCAGGAAACGAATAGCACAGTAAGACTGCCTGTGAGTCAAGTGGACAAGTATCACCCCGGGGGTCCAGAGTAGGGGGCCCGACTGTGGCTGGGGAGGGCAGGAGCTGGGGGGCTGGAAGTGGCCTGAGACAGCCGGGGATGCAGGTAGCAGGGAAAGCAGGCATCTCAGGAAAGACTGTTGTGGGTGAGGGCCTGGAGGGAGGGACAGAAGAGGATGATGAGTCCGGCCAACCCAGGGCCAGTGCAGGACCAGTCTGGGGTCTGGTGATGTGGTGGAGGGAGGCACAGGGTGGGGTCTGTGAGGAGAGGGTGGCAGCACCAAGGGGCCTGGAGCCCTAAGAGGGATGCTGACATCCTTTCCTCTCTGGGGACAATCTCCCTCAGCTGGCTACGCTGAGGACTACACCACGGGGGCCATGATGACCTTTGCCAGTGTCTTTGCCGTCCTCTTTAACGGCTGCACAGGCATCATGGCCGGGGCCAACATGTCAGGTGAGCATCTCTCCCTGCCACCTCCTGGGGGTGTGGGGCTGCCACCCAGAGGGACCTAGGTGGCTGGCGGGAAGGCTGACCTCTCTTCCTCTGCTCTCCCCACTCCAGGGGAGCTGAAGGACCCCAGCCGGGCGATACCCTTGGGCACGATTGTTGCTGTTGCCTATACTTTCTTCATCTACATCCTGCTTTTCTTCCTCTCCAGCTTCACCTGTGACAGGTACCTGGAGAGGATGGGGTGGGGTGTCGCAACAAGGTGTGCGCCTGGGCGACCAAGGGCAGCACAGGCTGGGAGCAGATACCCAGGTTGTCGGGGTGGAGGGAAAACGGGGGAGAGATGGAGCTCCTGCCACCACTGGGGGCGGCTGGCTGCGTGGGGATGGCCACCTGGCGGCCAGTGGCTGCAGTGGACCTGGTGCTGTTGGAGGCACTTAGTTTGGGGGTGCACATGGGGAATGGCTTTCTAGTCAATGTGCATTTCCACAAATATCTGGCCTCTTATTCATGTACTGTTGGGAACGACCACTGGGTAATTAACTCGAAGGCAGCCCAAAGGTAACCAATGAATACCCAGTGTATCCCTTTATTTAGCATGTTTGCTGTGTTACTCTGATTCTTGAGATCGGGGCTGGGTCGGTTGCGAGTACCCAGCTCCTAACCATACAGTGTCATGAGCACTTCTCTCACAAGGGCCCTACAATGCATAGTTATCTGTGTCCACCCCCTTCCCTCCCTCCTAGGACCCTGCTGCAGGAAGACTACGGGTTCTTCCGCGCCATCAGCCTGTGGCCGCCATTGGTGTTGATTGGCATCTATGCCACGTCGCTCTCGGCATCCATGAGCTCACTCATAGGTGCCTCTCGCATCCTTCACGCCCTGGCCCGGGATGACCTCTTTGGTGTGTTCTCCTCTGCTTCCTTGCTGGCTTTAAACATGCCCTCCTGCATCTGTTGCTTGGCCCAGGTTGATCTTTCTGCCGTGATTCTGTTTTTACAGGAGTGATCTTGGCACCAGCCAAAGTTGTGTCCCGAGGGGGAAACCCCTGGGGGGCTGTACTGTATTCCTGGGGCCTAGTGCAGGTGAGCCTTAATCTTTAAGGGGCCCTTCCCCTCACCCCACCAGTTGGCAGGGTAGGGGTGGGGTTTTCGACATGGGCTGAGAGATGTGTATGAAAAAGCAGATGTGTTGGCACTTTGTGGGGGTGCACTGGTACTTTGGATCAATGCCTACCTCTTGATCCCTGCCCAGCTGGTGCTCCTTGCTGGGAAGCTGAACACACTGGCCGCTGTTGTCACCGTCTTCTACTTGGTGGCCTATGCTGCAGTGGACCTGTCCTGTCTGAGCCTGGAGTGGGCCTCGGCCCCCAACTTCCGGTGAGCGACTAACAGGCCTGTGTCCGCAGAGAGAAGGAGGGAGGAATGGGAAGGACTCATAGCCAGGGACTGGGGCTGGGGATGGGGGCAGGCAGCCAGGTGCTTGGGGCAGGCCCTAAGTTCCCTTCCTTCTGCCCTCCACCTACCTAGCCCCACCTTCAGCCTGTTCTCCTGGCATACCTGCCTGCTGGGCGTGGCCTCCTGTCTGCTCATGATGTTTCTCATCAGCCCTGGGGCCGCCGGCGGCTCCCTGCTCCTCATGGGCCTGCTTTCTGCCCTGCTCACGGCTCGTGGGGGCCCCAGCAGCTGGGGCTATGTCAGCCAGGCCTTGCTTTTCCACCAGGTTGGGGGAGCTCCAAGGGTGGTGGGGAGTGGGGAGGCAGTCTGGGAAAGCCCTCTGCCTAGGGTGCCCCACCTTCCCTGGCTGGAGTTGGTATACTTCTCCGAGAGGTGCTGCATGGGGGCTGTCCATTGGGGCCCCTCCTCCCCACCACCTGCTCCCTGTCCCCAGGTGCGTAAGTACCTGCTCCGGCTGGACGTTCGGAAGGATCACGTGAAGTTCTGGCGGCCCCAGCTGCTGCTCCTGGTGGGGAACCCCCGGGGTGCCCTGCCTCTGCTGCGGTTGGCCAACCAGCTCAAGAAGGGAGGGCTTTATGTGCTGGGCCACGTCACCCTGGGAGACCTTGGTGCGTCACCCTCCCTCTGGCTCCCATCCATCCTCTCCCCTTTCCTCCCAGAGCCCAGTGACCCTCCAACCAGCCCCAGCCCTGCCCTGGCCCATTTGGGGTTTGGACTCTAGGACAGAGTGAGTGAGTTTGGCCAACTTTGGCTGCCTTCCTTTCCGTCCCTTCTCCGCAGACTCCCTGCCCTCAGACCCTGTGCAGCCGCAGTACGGGGCGTGGCTGAGCCTGGTGGACCGGGCCCAAGTTAAGGCCTTTGTGGACCTGACCCTCTCGCCCTCTGTGCGCCAGGGAGCTCAGCATCTTCTGCGAATCTCAGGCCTGGGTGAGCTGCTCCCCTCCTCTGAAGAGTAAACCACAGATTGCAGATTGCAAAAGGCCCTCAATCTAGTGCAGATAAGACCGGAGTGCAGATAAGACGGTGATAGCAGCCGCAGTGTGCGACAAGGTCTAATAGGATAAGCTAAGGACTACCAATGGGGTGACACTGTTGCGGTTTTTCTTTTCTTCTTGTTTTTTCCTGAGCCAAAGGTTGGGGCATAGGCCCTGAAGAGCATATTTCTGACAACAATGGGAGCATTATTTGAGTCTTGGGCTGCCCCATCAAATCTGATGGTTTCTAACCACTGGAGTTCAGAGAAATGGACACCACTGTGCACTGATGTGGCCAGTAAAGGTTTTGTGAAGAAATGGCAATTTGGCCTGGCCGTGAGAGGGCTGAGGAGTAGGGAGTGTGATGTGGCCCCCAGAGACCACAAAGATGCCGGAGGGCGTGTGGGGCTGATGCTGTGGATGGCGTGGAGGGTTCCAGCTCTTAGCGCTGAGGCCTCCAGGTTCCTCCAAATTCATGCCCAGCTTCCCCCTCCTCCCCTAATCCTGGGACAATGACTGTCACCTAAGTGCATGCCATGCCTCCTTCTCCATTTAGAGCTGGCTAAAGGTCAACAGTGTTGGACATTGCTCTGTTCACTGTAAATCAGAACCCTGGAAAATGCTTAGGAGGGGTTGTGACTAGTTTAATTTGCAAGATCAGCTGGAGTTCACACCTGCCGAGATGTTTGGGGGTGTTATCAAGCATTATTAGCCCAGAGCACCTGAGAGCCTGGTCTTCGCCCCAGTCCCGCTTCTTTGTGCAACGAGACCACTATAGTCATGAAACTTATCCTGTGGAAGATAATTTCAGTAAAAGGGAAAGCATTTCTTTTAAGCGGTAAATTCTCCTGACACATAGAGTTTGGTTTATAGTAGATTTTTTTTTTTTTTTTTTGAGACAGAGTTTCACTGTCTTGCCCGGGCTAGAGTGCCGAGGCGTCATCATAGCTCACAGCAACCTCAAACTCCTGGGCTCAAGCGATCCTCCTGCCTCAGCCTCCCGAGTAGCTGGGACTACAGGCACACGCCACCATGCCCGGCTAATTATTTTCTATATATTTTTAGCTGTCTGATTAATTTCTTTCTATTTTTGGTAGAGACGGGGTCTCGTTCTTGCTCAGGCTGGGATTTATAGTAGATTTTAAGCACTCTGTCTGTTTAATGAGATAGGTCTTAGGGAGGTCTCCAAGTCTCCCTGTAAACTCAGCCCGGTTAAAGGCAGGGATTATCAGATTTCACACTGGTTGCTCAAAAATTAAAAACCAGGAGCCGTCAGCAGGGACTTGGGACACTGTGGTTGGCACATGCCCAGCTCAGTGCCCCAGAGAATGGCCTCGTGCTGGCGGAGGCAGACTGCAGTCACCTATTGCCCCAGTATCAGCCAGCCATGAGCCTTTGGGCCAGTGACTTCACTGCTTGGTGCCTCAGTTTCCTTATCTGTGAAAGGGGGAGAATAAATATTAATAGTACCTACCTCATAGTATTGCTTCAACGTTCAAAGAGTTCATATATGAAGTGCTTTCTATAGGACACAGCCCCTGAGAAGCGTGCGGATGTGAGCTGTTTCTTCTCTGGGGACCATGCCATTGACTGTCATTATTAGGACTTTGTAGCAGTGTTACAGAAACACACTGCGCAGCCCCCATCCATTTTCTCATCTTTCCCCAGCAGGGTCTGGGGTGCTGTTAGGCCGGGGATTGACCATAAGCTTGACTGATCAGGGTGTCTGGTTTGCTCGAAGGAGTCGGATTCCTTTCCTGAAAAGGGCGTGCTGCTTAAAGCTGGGAGTGAATAGCACCCTACCCTCCATGGCTGGGCAGTGCTCATTAGTTATAAGAATCCTAAGGTGAACTCTGCCTATTTAAGTGCAGATTAGTCATGGAGATAATCAAATAAATGCACGTGAAAGTGTTTAGGAAAACTAAAAGTCATTATGCAAATGCGCACAATGTTGCCATAAGAGCCTGAGCACAGTGGGCATGTCATACCTTATGGCTGACACACATTGCTGTCAGCGTGTACAAGTGGGCGCATGTTAGCGTTCTGTAAACTCCGTCTGTGAGCCTGATTGCCTGTTTCTTTCTACCACTCCCTCTCTGCCCCCAGGTGGCATGAAGCCCAACACGCTGGTTCTGGGTTTCTACGATGACACGCCACCACAGGACCACTTCCTGGCAGATCCAGCTTTCTCTGAGCCTGTGGACAGCACCAGGGAGGGTGGGTCCCCAGCCTTGAGCACCCTGTTCCCTCCACCCCGGGCTCCTGGGAGTCCCCGGGCACTCAGTCCCCAGGACTACGTGGCCACTGTGGCGGATGCCCTCAAGATGAACAAGAATGTGGTTCTGGCCCGAGCCTGCGGGGACTTGCCCCCTGAGCGGCTGAGCCGGGGGTCTGGGGGGACCTCTCAGTTGCATCATGTGGACGTGTGGCCCCTCAACCTGCTTCGGCCCCGGGGTGGGCCTGGCTACGTGGACGTCTGTGGCCTCTTCTTGCTGCAGATGGCAACCATCTTGGGCATGGTGCCTGCTTGGCACAGTGCCCGGCTCCGGATCTTCCTGTGCCTGGGGCCTAGGGAGGCCCCTGGGGCAGCCGAGGGGCGACTCCGGGCACTGCTGAGCAAACTGAGGATCCGGGCCGAGGTGCAGGAGGTGGTGTGGGGCGAGGGGGCCGGGGCCGGGGCCCCAGAGGAGGAGGAGGAGGGGGACTTTGTGAACAGTGGGCTGGGAGACACAGAGGCAGTGGCCCTGGCACGAAGCGCCAACGCCCTGGTTCGGGCCCAGCAGGGGCGCGGCACAGGAGGAGGGCCTGGTGGGCCTGAGGCTGGCAGGGATGACGTGGGACCTGCCACGGCCCTCACCTTCCTATACCTGCCTCGGCCGCCTGCGGATCCTGCCCGCTACCCCCACTACCTGGCACTGCTGGAGACTCTGAGCCATGACCTGGGCCCCACGCTGCTCATCCACGGTGTCACCCCTGTCACCTGCACTGATCTCTGAGCCCCCTTCCTCCAGGGGTGGGTAGGGGGCCCAGGCTCTTGGCCCATCCTGATTCGTGGAGGAGGACAACGAAGAGGAAGAGGAGCAGGAGGGAAGCACCGCCTCCTGCTGGCCCTGCCCTTGGGACGTCTAGCCCCGCTGGGGTTTTAAGGGGATCCTGGGCTTGGGCTTCTCCTTTGGTAGAGGGACCCTGGTGCACTAATGTGGGGCGCAGTCCCCACCGAGCAGGGGAAGGAATCCGCAGCCTCCCGGGCTGGCCTCCCTTCACTGGTGCCTTGGCGCGAGGGGCTGGGTCTCCTCCGCGACTCTAGGCTACCTCAGTCTCCCCATCCTCGTCAGACTCACCGGCCCACGCGGGGTGGCGAAGTTTGTTATGTTTTATTTTTCTAACTCTGCTGACCATGAATAAAAGACCAAAAGACTACGGGCTGGCTGAGCTTTGCTGGCGGGTAGGTGAGAGGGAGGCGGGTGGGGACCTAGGCTCCGCAGTGAGGCTGCCACGTGCAGGGCGGGCGCGGAAGGGGAGCCGGGGGACCGGGAGGCGGCCTGGCCTGCGCCTCGGTCCCGAGCCCGCAGCCCCCGTGCCGGCCCCCTCGGAGCGCCCTCCCCTCTCGCAGGAGGGGGCCAACTCGGGGAGGGACGGCAGTTTAGGGCCGAGGGGGCCACGTGACCCTCCCCCAGGAATGCGGTGACGTCACCGGGGGCGTGGCCGTCCCCAAAATTGGGGAGGAAGGGGAAAAAAAGCCAGAAAAAGTTTCTTTCCTGGAGTCCCAAACGAGGTGTGGGACGGCAGAAGGGGTGCAGGCCAGAGGCCCGGGGCTCCGTGGGGTTGTCTGGAGTTCTTCGTTCCAGGCCATGTCGGGGCCCACCTGGCTCCCCCCGAAGCAGCCGGAGCCCGCCAGAGTCCCTCAGGGGAGAACGCTCCCCCGAGGCACCCCGGGGCCGCCACCAGTCCCCGGAGCCGGTAAGGCAGCCCCCTGGGGCTTGGGAGCCGCCGGGCGCTCACCTCTGCTCTCCAGCTGCCGCCTCTCGCCCAGGCCGGGGGACTAGCCGCCGGAGCCCTCCTGCGGTCCCCCCTGCCTCTTGCCCCACGCGGGACCCCGGGTTCGGGGGAGGAGGCTGGAGGGGCTAGGAGGACAGCATGCACCCCCGTCTCGCTGCCCCCACCCCATCTTGGTTTCTCTCTCTCAACCCAGCACTCCAGCCCCACCCCAGGGTCAATTTTTGCTCCCTCCCACCTGAGCAGTGTTACCAGGCCCCAGGGGTGCCAGAGGATCGGGGGCCGGCCTGGGTGGGGTCCCATGGAGCACCCCAGCGCTCGCAGGTGAGAGCTGAGATTGCCAGGTGGGTTGTGTGGAACGCCCTAGAGCATAATATGAGAGGGGACCTGGGCAGGAGAGGAGACGCAGTGATTTGCATCCTCCCTGCTCTGTCTCCATCCCCAGGGGCTCCCCCCAGAGAGGGGGGGCTTGCGCCCAGGAAGTCTGGATGCCGAGATAGACTTGCTGACCAGCATGCTGGCTGAGCTGAATGGAGGTCGTGGGCATGCCCCTCGGCGACCAGACCGACAGGTGACTCCCCTTCCTGACCTTGCTCCCCTCCCAAGCCCGCTCTCTCCTCTGGATTTTGGGTCCCAGGCCACCCTCACCTCCACCTCCCCGCATGTGAATGGTATACACCCTGGCATGGAGGAAACATGGGCAGCAAGAACTTACTGGAGTATGGGACCTTGTCAAAAGCCTGTGCTTCCCTGGGAGCCAGCCACACATGGGTGACTTCTAGGAACATGGGTCCTGGAATGGGCCATGCTCACAGCTTCTGGCCTGCATTTCTCCCCAGGCTTATGAACCCCCTCAGCCTCCTGCTTACCGCATGGGCTCCCTGAAGCCGAACGGAGGGGGTGCTCCACCCCCACCACTGCCAGCATCCCCCTATGGGGGCCCCACTCCAGCCTCCTATGCTACTGCCAGCACCCCGGCTGGCCCAGCCTTCCCTGTGCAAGTGAAAGTGGCACAACCAGTGAGAGGCTGCGGCCCACCCAGGCGGGGGGCCTCTCAGGCTTCTGGGCCCCTCCCAGGCCCCCACTTTCCTCTGCCAGGCCGAGGTGAAGTCTGGGGGGCTGGCTATAGGAGCCAACGAGAGCCGGGGCCAGGGGCTAAAGAGGAGGCGGCTGGGGTCTGCAGCCCTGCAGGAGGAGGAAGAGGAGGTGGGCATGGGCCCCAGGTAAGCGCTGGGGTACAGGGACTTTGGGTCCTTACATTCAACTGGACATTGATTGGGTGGGGTGAGGGTGTGGTTTAGGGGGCAGCGTCAGAGGTCTGGGGTGTGGAGCTGGTCAAGAAACACAGAGGGAAGGGGGCTCGCGATGCCTGCTGGGCCCTGGGCCGAGATGTTCTCAGATGAGCTTTCTGGGTTGAATTGCCTGGTCACGCTCAGGGATTTTTACAGCATCAGGAACCAGAAGTGGGACCGACTTTCTGATTGCCACCTTCCAGGTCCCCCTGAGCCAGCCTCCTGAGGAGGAGCTGGAGAGGCTGACCAAGAAGCTGGTGCATGACATGAACCACCCACTCACTGGGGAGTACTTTGGTGAGCCAACTCTGCGGGCAAGGTGGGAGTCAATGGGGACAGCAGGTCCGGCTTCCTGGGTCTGTGCAGATTGATTCTGTCCCTCCTTGTCCCCAGGCCGGTGTGGTGGCTGCGGAGAAGATGTGGTTGGGGATGGGGCTGGAGTTGTGGCCCTTGACCGTGTCTTCCACATTGGCTGCTTTGTGTGTTCTACGTGCCGGGCCCAGCTTCGGGGCCAGCATTTCTACGCTGTGGAGAGGAGGGCATATTGTGAGAGCTGCTACGTGGTGAGTGTTTGCTGCTGGGGGCTGGAGTCAGCAGCAGGCGGCAGGGGGCTTCCTTCCATCCAAGGTGGGAATTAGATGTCCAAGCTCAAAAGAGGTACAGGGTTCAAAGCTGGGTGACTCAAACTAATGTATAAGAAGGGAGAAATTCACCAAGTAGTTCAAAACTGGCTGCTGGAGGGGAAGGATACAGCCTCTTACAAGTGTGAGGCATCTTAGAGTTAAAGGAATGCATTAAATTCCCACAATTCCCTTGAAGCTCAATTTATGCAGGAAGCTGCAGTGCTGGGACCTGAACTAGATTTGCTCAAGTCTACCTTTCACCGAATCACATGCAGGAGGCTGCATAAATAGATGGGTGGGCTGGCAGGGTGCCTTTTGGGCTGTGTGGCTCCGTCTCCCTGCCCTCCTGCCCTCCTTCCTAACAGGCTACCCTGGAGAAATGCGCTACATGCTCCCAACCTATCTTGGACCGGATCCTGCGGGCTATGGGGAAGGCGTACCACCCTGGCTGCTTCACCTGCGTGGTGTGTCACCGTGGCCTTGATGGCATCCCCTTCACAGTAGATGCCACCAGCCAGATCCACTGCATCGAGGACTTCCACAGGTCAGGCCTGACCCCCACCAAGATGTCTGACCTTTCCTATCTCCCTCATCCCTCCTTCATGCCCCAGGACTGTTCCTCCTGTTTCCAACCCCTTGATCTCCTTCATTCCATACATCTGGTCTCCTCCATTCCCTCTTGCCTCCCACCTTCCCTGGGCTCCATTTTTGGTCCCTTGATAGCCTCTTTGGTTCCCTTCCACCCCAGGAAGTTTGCTCCACGATGCTCAGTGTGCGGTGGGGCCATCATGCCTGAGCCAGGTCAGGAAGAGACCGTGAGAATTGTTGCTCTGGATCGCAGTTTTCACATTGGCTGTTACAAGTGTGAGGTCAGAGGACCTGGGCAAGAGCAAGGGGCTTGCAGTGTCTGGGGTGCTGGGTAGAGCAGGAGGGAGGAGGAACCCAGGGGTCTGGGGCTGATGAAAAGCTGTTGCTTCTTTCCCAACAGGAGTGTGGGCTGCTGCTCTCCTCTGAGGGTGAGTGTCAGGGCTGCTACCCACTGGATGGGCACATCTTGTGCAAGGCCTGCAGTGCCTGGCGCATCCAGGAGCTCTCAGCTACTGTCACCACTGACTGCTGAGTCTTCCTAGAAGCACCTGCTGCATTCTCAGTTCTTCCCATCCATCACCCTCCCTGACATCTACCTTTACAACTTTGTCACCAAATGCTGTCTCCTCTTTCTCCAATCATGAAATAATAATCCCTTAAGAGTTTACAAAACACTTTCAAGTCTTGATTCATCTGATTCTCACAGTAGCCTAATAAAAGCAAAATTGTTATTGTCTGCATTTTTACACCTGAGAATGCCAGAGCTGAGAAGAGACTTGCCCAGATTGCATGGTTCTTGAATGATAAAACCAAGATCAGAACCTGGGACCAGGGTCTTGGCTCTGGTGCGGTTTGTTTGTTTGTTTTCCAACTCTACTACACTTTTTAATATAGTTTGGTGTGAAGATACCCTCCTCTCAGTGCTGGGAGCAAGGCTGCGGCATTTCCTGTTCTTTTTTTTTTTTTTTTTTTTAGACAGAGTCTCACTGTGTTGCCCGGGCTAGAGCGCCATCCTAGCTCACAGCAACCTCAAATTCCTGGGCTTAAGCAATCCTCCTGCCTCAGCCTCCCGAGTAGCTGGGACTACAGGCATGTGCCACCATGCCCGGCTAATTTTTTCTATATATTTTTAGTTGTCTGATTAACTTCTTTCTATTTTTAGTAGAGACGGGGTCTCGCTCTTGCTCAGGCTGGTTTCGAACTCCTGAGCTCAAACAATCCGCCCGCCTTGGCCTCCCAGAGAGCTAGGATTACAGGCGTGAGCCACCGCGCCCGGCCGCATTTCCTGTTCTTAAGTCTCACACTCAATTCATTGAGAAGGGACTTGGTGTTACCTGTGTGTGTGAGGGGTGGTGCATTTAATCTGGGGAGAGCCAGATCCTGTCTGTTGATCAGGATCAATTTACAGCCTATCTTATCCAAGTAATGGTGGGGGTTTAAATCTGAGGTCTGCCCGTTTTGCTAAAAATTGGGACGCCTTTGTCAAAGAAGAACAGGAACAAAGGGTTTTGCAGGCATTTTGTGGTACCAATACAGGCTGGTTCTCTGGTGGGAGCAGAAAATGGTGGGAAGAGATGCTTTAAGATGGTTGCTTCTATCTTCTATCTCTTGAACGCCCGCGCTCCCCAAGCCCATGCCCTGAGCCAGGAGAGGGCAAAATCACCCCCAATGAGGTCAAGAGACGCCCCAAGCCAAGGGTCAGTAGACGACAAGGCTGAATGCGACCTGGCTCTGACCCCGGGCACATCTGAAGGAGTGCGACCCTGACCCTCAGCCCAAGAAAGCGCTCCCCGCACACACAGAAGGCTCGCTTGGCCCAGCCCAGCTCCCGTAGTTCCTCGCGGTCTTGAAGTCTCGTCTCAGAAAGCGCGCGAGGCTTCCGTGTCCCCGCCCCCTCCCATCACTCCCTGTTCTCTCGCTCT